CAGTGGAGCGTGAAGAAATGCTCCTGCCTTCCAATTTTGTAACAGCAACAAGAAAACCTGTGCTGATGGACACATCCTCACCAGGCCTGTGGGGATGTACAGAAAAAAATCATTTTTCTTCAACAGATGTCCTCGGGCAGGTCCTGGAAAAAGAATTCAAAACAGTGCAAAGGGTCAAGAGGTCAATCTCCAGAGGTCAGTTTTACTCACACTGTTCTTTTAAAAATCACATGAAAAGCCTCCACACCCTGAAATCTTATCTAAACGCGAATCAAAACTACAACAAAATATCGCCTAGATAGAGAGAAAGATATGCTCAGTCATGTCCAACTCTCTGTGTCCCCACGGACTGTAGCCCACCAGGCTCCTCTGTCCATGGGATTCTCCAGGCAGGAATATTGGGGTGGGTTGTCATTTCCTGCTCCAGAGGATCTTCCCAACACAGGGATCAAATCCAGATCTCTTGCATTGCAGGCAGATTCTTTACCATCTGAGCCACCAGAGAAGTAACATAAGCAGACACAAAAGATCACACATACATACTACGATTCCAATTATAAGAAATACCCATGCAATCAGAGCAGGAAAAGAAATAAAAGGAATCCAGATTGGAAAAGAAGAAGTAAAACTCTCACTGTTTTCAGATGACATGATCCTCTACATAGAAAACCCTAAAGACTCCACCAGAAAATTACTAGAGCTAACCAATGAATATTCTAATGTTGCAGGATATAAAATTAACACACAGAAATCCCTTGCATTCCTATACACTAACAATGAGAAAACAGAGAAATTAAAGAAACAATTCCATTCACCATTGCAACAAAAAGAATAAAATACTTAGGAATAAATCTACGTAAAGAAACAAAAGACCTATATACAGAAAACTATAAAACACTGATGAAAGAAATCAAAGATGACACACATAGATGGAGACATATACCATGTTCATGGATCAGAAGAATCAATATAGTGAAAATGAGTATACTACCCAAAGCAGTCTATAGATTCACTGCAATCCCTATCAAGCTACCAACGGTATTTTTCACAGAACTAGAACAAATAATTTCACAATATATATGGAAGTCCAAAAGCCTTGAATAGTCAAAACAATCTTGAGAAAGAAGAATGGAACTGGAAGAATCAACCTGCCTGAACTCAGGTTATACTACAGAACAACAGTCATCAAGACAGTATGGTATTGGCACAAAAACAGAATTATATATCAATGGAACAAAATAGAGAGCCCAGAGATAAGTCCACACACCTATGGACACCTTACCTTTGACAAAGGAGGTAAGAATATACAATGGAGAAAAGACAATCTCTTTAACAGTGGTGCTGGGAAAACTGGTCAACCACTTGTAAAAGAATGAAACTGGAACACTTTCTAACACCATGCACAAAAATAAACTCAAAATGGATTAAAGATCTAAATGTAAGACCAGAAACTATAAAACTCCTAGAGGAGAACATAGGCAAAACACTCTCCAACATAAATCACAGCAGGATCCTCTATGACCCACCTCCCAGAGTAATGGAAATAAAAGCAAAAATAAACAAACAGGACCTAATTAAAAGTTTTTGCACAATGAAGGAAACTAAGCAAGGTGAAAAGACAGCCCTCAGATTGGGAGAAAATAATAGCAAACAAAGCAACTGACAATTAATCTCAAAAATATACAAACTACTCCTGCAGCTCAATTCCAGAAAAATAAGTGACCCAATCAAAAAATGGGCCAAAGAACTAAACAGATATTTCTCCAAAGAAGACATACAGGTGGCTAACAAACACATGAAAAGATGCTCAACCTCACTCATTATCAGAGAATTGCAAATCAAAACTACATTGAGGTATCATCTCACACTGGTCAGAATGGCTCCTATCAAAAAGTCTACAAGCAATAAATGCTGAAGAGGGTGTGGAGAAAAAGGAACCATCTTACACTGTTGGTGGGAAGGCAAACTAGTATAGCCACTATGGAGAACAGTGTAGAGATTCCTTAAAAAACTGGAAATAGAACTGCCATACAACCCAGCAATCCCACTGCTGGGCATACACACCGAGGAAACCAGAATTGAAAGAGACACGTGTACCCCAATGTTCATCGCAGCACTGTTTACAACAGCCACGACATGGAAGCAACCTAGATGTCCATCGGCAGATGAATGGATAAGAAAGCTGTGGTACATATACACAATGGAATATTACTCAGCCATTAAAAATAATGCATTTAAATCAGTTCTAATGAGGTGGATGACACTGGAGCCTATTATACAGAGCAAAGTAAGTCAGAAAGAAAAACACCAATACAGTATATTAATGCATTTATATGGAATTTAGAAAGATGGTAACAATGACCCTATATATGAGATAGCAAAAAAGACACAGATGTAAAGAACAGGCTTTTGGACTCTATGGGAGAAGGTGAGGGTGGAATGATTTGAGAGAATAGCAGTGAAACATGTATATTATCATATGTGAAACAGATAACCAGTCCAGGTTCCGATGCATGAGACAAGTGCTCAGGGCTGGTGCACTGGGATGACCCAGAGGGATGGGATGGGGAAGGAGGTGGGAGGGGGGTTCAGGATGGGAAACACATGTACACCCATGGCTGATTCATGTGAATGTTTAGCAAAAAACCACTATAATATTGTAAAGTAATTAGCCTCCAATTAAATAAAAAATAACAATTAAAAAATTAAAAAAACAAAAAAGAACAGGCCAGTTCATAGAGACAGAAAGTTCAGTGGAAGTTATCAGGGCTTCAGGAAGGGAGAATGAGGCATTATTTCCATTTTAGATTCTCTATAGGGGTAAAATGCACAGAAACCTGGAGACGTGTTTTGAACAAGGTGCTCATATGGAGTATCACCTGACAGATCTCTGTGATGCGTGGTTTCGGTGAACTTTTCTTTGGAGCAGTGACGTGGGTCAGAAATCAGCACAGAGCAAAAGCAACACACTCAGCCCTGAAGCCCTGATGAGGGAAAAAGCCTGCATTTCACCCAGAAAGTGTGAGCAGGAAAAGATGGGCGTGACTGGAACAAGCTGAGCAGAGCCCTGACTGCAGACTGTAGGGGCGGGGCCAGGACGCGCCAGCCTTGGGGGGTGATTCTTTACTTTCAGTTATAAATGTATATAATTAAACATATAAAGTATATATGTGTGTGTAGTTGAAGGATCCTGGTGTCTCAGTGGTAAAGAATCTGCCTGCAATGAAGGAGAACAGGGTTCGATCCCTGATCAGGAAGATCTCCTGGAGAAGGGCATGGCAACCCACTCCAGTGTTCTTTTTTCCTTTTTGGTTGAGTTCCTTTTCCTGACAACCCCCGTAACCACCCTTCCTGACTCCAGTATTCTTGCCTGGAGAATCCCATGGACAGAGGAGCCTGGCACCTACAGTCCGTGGGATTAAAAAGTTTCGGACATGACTGAGCGGCTAACACTTTCACTCTCTCTTTTTGCATAGTTCATTTACAATGTTGTTAGTTTCAGGTGTATGCACAGCAATTCAGTTATGCATATATATACATATTCTTCTATACACATATATATATTCTTTTCCAGCCTCTTTTCCCTTTAGGTTATTGTTAATACAAGACATTGAGTCGAGTCCCCGGTGCTGTCCAGTAGCTCCTTCTTGTTCACCTATTTTTTATTGTAATTCCTCCCTCTCTTCTGGCTGCACTGTGTGACATGCAGGATGTTAGTTCCCTGATCCAACCTGTGCCACCTGCAGTGGAAGCGTGGCACAGGACCACGCACAGTCCTAACCACTGGACCACCAGGGAGGTCCCTGTTTACCTGTCTTACAGATGGCAGTAAGTATCTGTTAATCCCAAACTCCCAGCTCGTCTCCCCCCGCCACCACTTGCTATCCCCTTTGGTAACCGCATGTTTGGTTTCTATGTGAGTATTTCTGTTCTGTAAATAAGTTCATTTGGACCAGGTGATTATTTGCTGGAGTTGGAGAAGAGAGGCAAGAAGAGGACTTTCCTGTGCATTAGAGGTTTAGCAGCATCCCTTGGACAGCAAGATCAGACCAGTCAGTCCTAAAGGAAATCAACCCTGAATATTCATTGGAAGGACTGATGCTAAAGCTGAAGCTCCAGCACTCTGGCCAGCTGATGCGAAGAGCTGACTCATTGGAGAAGACCCTGATGCTGGAAAAGATTGAGGGCAGGAGAAGAAGGGGACAACAGAAGATGAGATGGTTGGATCAGCTTCACCAACTCAATGGACGTGAGTTTGAGCAAACTCTGGGAGATAGTGGAGAACAGGGAGTCTTGGCGTTCTGCAGCCCATGGGGTCGCAAAGAGTCGGACAGGACTGAGCGACTGAGCACCATTACCACACCACTGCTTCTCACTGTTCAAGCATTCCCTCATTTGACCCTCAGTGGGGTCTGAGAAGCAGGTGTTCTTTAGTCCCATTCTAGTGAGAACCAGGAATCTGCTGAGAGTTGTGCGATGCATCTGTCTGCCAAAAATATACACACAACCTGAATGTTGAGAGTTATGTTTTATTCGTCAGATATTCTTAGGACTCAAGCCTAGGAGGCAACATCTCAAGTAACCCCAGGAGAACTGCTCGGAGGAAAAAAGGGGAGAAGCCAGGTTATATAGAAGCTTCGCAACCAACGGTGGATAATCTGAACCTCAAATGCTACTGCCAGTTAAAGAAAACCAGCTATCCCAAGTCAAGGAATTTAGCGCTTTTCTACGTATGGGAAGATGGAAAAGTCTGGGCTCGCTGAAATCATTGCTTTGATGCACACCTCAGCTGTCTGGGGCCAGGATCCTGCTGTTTTCACGTCCCGGGGTCCCTCCGGGTTCACCCTCAGTGGTGGCTGCAGTCTGATGGCTGCTACATGGCCGTGCTCTTTCCTTCCTGAGTGCCCTCGGGGCTCGCCAGCTCACCATCCGTGGTGGCCATCATTGCTTGTGACTGTGATATCCTTTGTTCACTGATATGGCAGGAAATATTCCATCTCTCATATCCCAGAATTTCTTGAGGACTGACAAGGCTTCTGTATTCTTGAGTCTTCGGGGAGCTCCAAAATGATGCCTGGGGCTTCCCAGGTGGCGCAGTGGTAAAAGAATCCGCCTGCAAGGCAACAGACTTGGGTTTGATCCCTGGGTCGGGAAGATCTCCTGGAGAAGGAAATGGAGAAGGGAATAGCTACCTACTCCAGTATTCCTGCCTGGAGAATCCTGTGGACAGAGGAGCCTGGTGGGCTACAGTCCATGGGGTCACAGTCGGACACGAGTGGGCAGGTGCGCGTGTGCACACACACTCACTCACGAGATGATGGCTGCTGTGGGCACGTGAGCAGTTCACCTCCTGGAGCCCCACGCTCCTGAAGGGGCATTTGCACCACGGAGTGCACACAGCCAGCTCCCGCTCCGCACTCTGGATGAGGGGAAGGTGGGTCCACGCGGAGGTAAACTGAGGACTCCTCAGGGCTGCAAGACGGCAGTGAAAGCTCACTCTGCGTGAAGGAGTCCTGGTGCGGCTCAGCCGAGGACTCAGAAGACCCCCATGGGCATTCCTCTGGGTGGGCCTGGGAAGACACAAAGCGAGGGGTGAGCGCCTGGGGGAGGGGCCAGGGGAGCGGGGAAGTGGAGAGACTCATGTGCATGTCCCTCTGTCTCTCCTCCTCTGACGGGAGGTGCACCGAGACGTCGTCTGCAAGGAAAGAGGAGAGGACAGGCTTTCAGGAAGGGCCTTCTGGTCACCCAGTCCTGCCGTCTGTATTTCGGAGCCATGACGGGGCGGAGTGAGTGGACCGAGGAGGTGATTGAATAGTTAGTCCCCCAGGGGACTGTAGGTAGAGACAGTATTGGAGACCCTTGTAAGTGGATGACTCCAGAAAGCAGGTTTGCTTAGCAACAGAAGCAGGAGACCTGCCCCCAACAAGGGAACAGTGGTGGCGTGAGCCCCACATCCAGCCCAGGGAGCCCCGGAATTTAATGATCCATGGGACATGCTCTCTACACACATTAAAAAAAAAAAAAAAATTTGTGGACCTTGCTTGACCATGTAGGGACACCTAGGGGAGGGGCCGGGGGAACCTGCTCAGCCTGGAGGAGGAGCTGATGATGGAACTGTGATGTCTACTCAAGAAAGTCAAAGAAGGTCTTCTCCCCCTCCCCACTTTTCCTGTGATTATAAAACTGTAGCCCAGTAAATTCTCGGATCTGCCCGCTTGTAAGCCTCGTAAGCGTCCTTCTCTAGTAAATCACTTCTCATCTACCACTTGGCTCTCACTGACTTCTTCTCTGCACTGAGACAGGAAGGGCTGTGGTACAGAGCTCTTCAGAGCCCCCAGGAATGACACCAGTCGCTTTCAGATGGACAACTGGAAGCAGGGAAGGGCAGTGACGTCACACGCGGTGAGGCCTGCCCCCAGCGTCTCAGCTTCTTCCAGGACGCAGTCTATCTGCCCCTGAACGCATCCTTCCCCCAGCCCCGCTCCCCCGCCTTCTCACTCCTCTTACGTGGATTTTCTCCTGAGAAGTCCATGCGAGGGCTGGAGCTGAGGGAAAGGAGATAGACGCATTCAGGTGGGTCTGAGGAATGAGGCAGAAACAGCGTTTTCTACTGGGAAGAGTCTGGATTTTCCTACCTGTTAAAATCCGGTTGGCTGTTGGTCTCATTATCAGCGGAACCTACAGAGAGGCGATGCTGAGAGCCCTTCCTGGTAGGGAACCCCCCAAGCCCCTCCCCACGCTCCCCCCACACAGGTGACCCCTTCCCCTTCCCCTTCCAGAACGTACCGTGTTGGCCTCCACAGCAGCACAGGCAGAGGATAAAGAGGAGAATGAAGAGGAGAGGGAGGCGCCCGACGGCAGAATTCCCAGACACAACGGGAAGGGCTATTTCTTCAAGAGGGTTTTGGTAGACTTCAGGTAGGTCTAGGAGTTGGGAAACAGTACAGATCTGTGGCTGGTCTCTGGCTGGACCAAGTCATCCTTTCAGTACATATGTATTGTATTTACTGTATATGTACTGTGCACCTTCCATATACGAGCAAGTTAGTGGATGTTTTGGAAACTGGTGAACCTATGCAATAACAGAATCTAGACACATGAGCCAATGCACAGAAGTTGTTATTCTTCTGCGTATTGAGATAAATTACACAACAAAACTATCTACTGTATTTTCCAGTGGTCATGTATGGATGAGAGTGTTGTACCATAAAGAAGGCTGAGCATCAAATAACTGATGCTTTTGAACTGTGGAGTTGGAGAAGACTCTTGAGAGTCCCTTGGACTGCAAGGAGATCCAACCAGTCGATCCTAAAGGAGATCAGTCCTGGGTGTTCATTGGAAGGACTGATGCTGAAGCTGAAACTCCAGTACTTTGGCCACCTGATGCAAAGAGTTGGCTCATTGGAAAAGACCCTGATGCCGGGAAAGATTGAGGGCAGGAGAAGGGGACGACAGGGGATGAGATGGTTGGATCGGCTTCACCAACTCGATGGACATGAGTTTCAGCAAACTCTGGGAGATAGTGAAGGACAAGGAGGCCTGGCGTGTTGCAGTCCATGAGGTCACAAAGACTCAGACGCAACTGAGTGACTGAACAACAACCCTGGCCTTCCCTGGTGGCTCAGTGGTTAAGAATCCACCTGCCAATCGGGAGACATGGATTCCATCCACGGTCCAGGAAGATCCCACATGCCTCACAACGGCTAAACCCACACGCCACAACTGAGCCTGCAAGCTGCAACTATGAAGAGCCCGTGCTCCACGACACGAGAGAGCCCTCACACAGCAACAGAGACCCAACGCTGCCAAAATTAATCAGTTAATTTTTAAAAGATAAAATTTTGCACATTTGTGACACCACAGGTGGATCTAGAGGGCGTGTGGCTAAGTGAAATAAGTCAGAGAAAGAAAATGCCATCGGCTCCCACATGTGGAATCTAAAGAACAAAACAGAACAAGGGCAGACCTACAGAACCAGAGAATAACCAGAAGGCTGCCAAAATGACCGAAGGGATTAAGAAGTACTAACCATAAGTTATAGAATAAAAAAATACAGAGATGAAATACACAGAGCAGGGAAGGTGCTCAATAATAACGTAATAACTTTACACAAGAACAGATGGTTCCCAGACATATCCTGGTAATCATTTCATAAGGTCATTATACAGTATGAAAGTGAAAGTCACTCATTCGTGTCCAACTCTTTCCGACCCCATGGACTGTAGTCCATGGAATTCTTTAGGCCAGAGTACTAGAGTGGGTAGCTGGTCCCTTCTCCAGGGGATCTTCCCATCTTCCCAACCCAGGGATCAAACCCAGGTCTCCTGTATTGCAGGCCAATTCTTTACATCTGAGCCACCAGGGACACCTGAAATTGCTATAATATTGTACTTCAACTATATTTCAATTAACTTACTAAAAACCTATGCCAAACAGTACAATGTTGAGGTCCCAACCAGGGCTCAATATATCTGGAATACGAAAAAACTAACTTACCTCTTGATAGATTCATAAGATTAAAACAAAATCATATGTACAAATGTTGAGAAGAGCACTTGGTAGATGAGAAAACCTCAACACATGTTACCTACCAACTATTAACATTAAGCAATAATGCCTACTTTGAGCAAAAGCTTGTTGTCTGAGTTTGACAGAGTCCTATCTTACCTGATGCAACACTCGGTTATTATATCTTTTTTTTTTTTTTTTTGGCTGTGCTGCACCACTTATAGGATCTCAGTTCCTCAATCCGAGATTGAAGCCTGGCTATGGCAATGCCACCTGACCACTGGACCTTCAGAGAACTCCTGTAATTTCACTTTAGAAAGAAGGAACCTGGGGCTCAAATGAGGAAACTGCTTGCAAAAGGTCACAGAACCAGCACATCTTGATGTCTTCATTTTACTTCAAGTCCGTCTCCTAGTCAAGAGTGCCTTCCTTCTGAACAGAACTTCCATAGCTGAGTGAGCTGGAGGCAATCACTGTTGTTCTTTAGTCACTAAGTCCGACTCTTTGGGACCCTGTGGACTGTAGCCCACCAGGCTCCTCTGTCTATGGGATTCTCAGGCAAGAACACTGAAGTGGGCTGCCTCTTCCTCTTCCAGGGGATCTTCCCGACCCAGGGATGGAACCGACATCTCCTGCTTTGCAGGCAGATTGTTTACCACTGAGCCACCTGGAGGCAGGTGAGGTGACAGCAGATGGAGAGGACACGCAGCACCCCCAACAAGTGGCACTCCCGAACCCACAGGGGGGCCTGGGGCCCGTACGATGTCCCGGGCTCCCTGCGTCTGCATGGTGAATGTCGACCGCAGCTGTGTTCTCTTTCTGCATTAAATCAAAACCTGAGCATTTCCTCCTTGACTCATCTGTGCCGATGGGGAATAGCTGGAGATCGGGGAGCTTTCTAGAGAGGGGAAGAGGTTTCCTACCAAAGACTGGCAAAATGCTGAAGAATTAAAACACAAAAAATAAATTAAGGTCTTCCCTCGTGGCTCAGTAGTGATGTATGGATGTAAGAGTTGGACCATAAAGAAAGCTGAGCACTGAAGAATTGGTTCTTTTGAACTGTGGTGTTGGAGAAGACTCTTGAGAGTCCCTTGGACTGCAAGGAGATCCAACCAGTCCGTCCTAAAGGAGATCAGTCCTGAATATTCATTGGAAGGACTGATGCTGAGGCTGAAACTCCAATACTTTGGCCACCTGATGCGAAGAGCCGACTCATTAGAAAAGACCCTGATGCTGGGAAAGATTGAACGCAGGAGGAGAAGGGGATGACAGAGGATGAGATGGTTGGATGGCATCACTGACTCAATAGACGTGAGTTTGCATAAGTTCCAGGAGACAGTGAAGGACAGGGAGGCCTGGCGTGCCGCAGTCCATGGGGTCGCAAAGAGTCGGACACCACCGAGCGACTGAACAACAACTGGTGCTCCGTGGTAAAGAATCTGCTCGCCAATTCAGTAGACGTCGTCGGTTCCATCCCTGGTCCGGAAAGATGCCACTTGCCAAGGAGCACCTAAGCCCGTGTGCCAAAAATAAAGCCCGCGTGCCACAAATAAAGCCCGCCTTCTAGAGCCCAGGAGCCGCATCCACTGAAGCCAGGCAGCCAAGAGCCTGTGCTCGGGCAACAAGGGAAGCCGCCGCGGTGAGACGCCGAGCATCCCAGCTAGAGAGGAGCCCCTGCTCACCGCAGCTAGAGAAGGGCCACGCCCAGCTACGAAGATCCGGTGCAGCCAAAAAATAAATAAGTAAATCATTTAAATTAATGAAGCGAAGCGTGTGGAGGAAGGGATGGTGCAGGTGAGAGGCTGAGGTTCGGTCAAGGCTGCACAGGTTCGTCCCCGCGGCCCAGCTCGGAGCTCTGTGGGAGAAAAAGGGAGGCACCACTCACCAGTCTGCGCCCAAATCCCTGGGTCCCGGCAGAACACTGCAAGGGAGAAACGCGAGGTGAAGCCGGCCGGTAACTGGGCTCCCAGACGCCTGGAGCTCAGGGCGTTACCTCTACAGCGAAGCGGAGAGACGCGGCCCGCGGGGTGACGACGCCGCAGTCCCCTGTCCCGGGGCCTCACAGAGGGCAGTCCCAGCAGAGGAGCCCGCTTACGAACCGCTCCTCGGCGCCTTCTTCCCTCCCCAGCCTCCCACACGACCGCCCGTGGCCCGCTCACCGAGCCCGAGCAGAAGAGGGACGCCCGGGGCCATGGCGATACCCGGCCCACACCGCCCGCGCGCGCAGCCCGCCCAGCACGGCTGCCCCGCGGACCCAGCCGGCCCGGCCCGAGACCTCCTGCCGCGGAGTGCCAGCACTGCCTTCCCGGCAGAAGGGCAAGCGCTGCTTGTGCAAGACCGAGACGCTGCCCCTCCACCCTCCCCACGGCGCCTGGGCCGGGTGTGGTTACCTGCGGGTTTCCTGCTGTGATCTTCCAGCCGCGAAGATGTGGGAGACCCGCTCTCCACAAAGACCTGCTTATCTGCCGCAGGGCTTCCCCGATGGTTCAGCGCGGAAAGAACCCGCCTGCAACGCAGGAGACACAGGAGACGCGGGTTCGATCCCTGGGTGGGGAAGATCCCCTGGAGAAGGGCACAGCGACCCCCTCCAGTATTCCTACCTGGAAAATCCCATGGACAGAGGAGCCTGGCGGGCTGCAGTCCGCGGGGTCACAGAGAGTCGGACACGACTGACTACATACACACATCTAAAATAGAAGAAGAACTGAGGGAAATTTTCCTCCTCCCCCCAGAAAAAGGAGATCACACGCAACTAGAAAAGACTGACTCTGATACAGGAAACTCTGAGGGATGGTGTTGCCGACGTTAATGAGGCCTGAGAGTTCAATGGAGAGCAGTGTGGGTCGGTCCGGGAAGAGGCTTGGAAGACCAGTTCTTCTGTAACATACAGACTCTGCAGTAAGGGTGGGTGTGAAAAGATGCAGCCAAGTCACAGAGAAAGAAACTAAGGGGGAAAAGTTGTAGAGAAAAACATCTGAAACTAATATAATGTGATATGTCAATTACACCTCAATAAAAAATGAATACCCAAAACACCCCAAAACAAGTCCTAAACTTTAAGTATATCATATCCAAACTGAAAGAAACTGAAAGAAAATCAAAGAAACAGATAATGAGGTTGAGGCTTCATAATTGAAAAAAAAAGAGGGAAAGGAAGCACTGGTATTCATTCCCATTCCTACAGTTTTTGATCATCAATTCTCTCCCACAAAGACATAAGTGACATTGAGTAGGACTATTCTGGAGTTTCACATGGGACTTGGCACCTGGGAGTCACTTGATACATTAATTAGTCACTTGATACACTAATTGCCTATAGATAAATAAAGATGTCCCCAACTTAAAAAAAAAAAGAAGAATCCTTATGTAAGTGGACCCACGCCATTCAAACCCATGTTGTTCAAGGGACAACCAATATATAATTGCATACAAATATATGTAATTGTATATATGTGCACACCTGCTCAGTCGTGTCAGACTCTTTGCAGCCCCATGGACTGTAGCCCGCCAGGCTCCTCTGTCCAAGAGATTCTCCAGACAAGGATACTGGAGTGGGTTGCCATGCCCTCCTCCAGAGGATCTTCCCAACCCAGGAATCAAACCCATGTTTCCTGCATTAGCAAGCGGGTTCTTTACTGCTGAGCCACTGGGAAAGTCCATATCAATATATCTAATTGTATATAAAATTATATATAATTACATATAAATATATAATTATATACACTTTATTAATTGCACATAAATATATAAAGGTGTATGTATGTGTGCATGCATTATTACATGTATATTACTGTCTATAAGCACATATATATTTTTATACATATATAACTATGTTTATTCGGAAGTATACACATTACATATTCCAGCCCCTGTAGGACCTTTGCTTTTAGACTGGCGTGTAGTTGCTTTACAGTGATGTGGGCAGCGATGTGGGCAGCGGAGTGACCGGCCACACATACGCCTGTATCCCTTGAGCTCCTTCCCATTCCGGTCACCGCTGAGCCTTGAGTAGAGTGCCCTGTGGTGTATGGTCGGTTCTTGTTAGATGAGTTATCTGTTTTACACATCATAATGTGTATATGTCAAGCCCAATCCCCCAATCCATCCTTCCCCTCAAAAAAAAAAACCATCTTTAGAAGTCTGGTCTGAGGCTGGGCAAGCTCCCCCGAGAGCGAGTTCTCTCTCTGTCCCCTGGCGCTGCCCCTGGGGACCGCAGTGCAAGAGGCTGTCATCGGCTTGGCTGTGGCCGCCACGTTTCTGGTGATCCCGGGGGTCTCCACAGCTAACGCCTGGTTCAGCAGAGAAGGTTTCAAGCGCCTTGGTCTCAGCCGACCAGGGAGGAGCCCTCATAACTATGAGCAGCGCCCCAAGGTTAGCAAGGAGGGTCAGGAGCACCCCGGCTCAGCCCACGGCTCCTCCTCCAACGTCAGCCTTGTGCTTCTCTGCTCTTTCTGCTGCTGGGGTCCCAGGCTCTTCCAAAACCTGCCATCCTCAGCTTTGGTGGCACAAGACGCATCTTCTCCTCCCTCTGTCTCACCTGCCTCTGCTTTCTCCTCCTCTCAACTCCATCTCATCAGATCCACCAGACCTTGGCCGTCAACCTACACACCTCCTCTTGCGACCCCCTCCGCCCCCCGAGAACTCATGTCCTCCTAACGTGTCACCTCTAACGAGATGACCCCTGCTCCTGAGCTTCGAGCCCCACAGGGCTCCTTGGGCGGCCTCTCACTCTCAGCTCTCTCTGGGACGCGTGTTAATAACGGGTGGTCCCGGCCACGTGGAGAGGACAGCCTGTTCATGAGACGCTGTGTTTACCTCCCACCCCTTTCTCCTGTCTTGCTCCAGGTACCATGATGTCCCCACTGGCTGGGATCCACCCTAAGTCCCACCCACCCACATTTCACAATGTCCTCATTGAACTGTTCTCCCAGACGACCTGCTTAAAAATAACAGGAAAACAGGGCTCATGCTTACTGAATGGTTGCAAAATGTTTCCTTCCTTGAACGCACCATTATTTGCTTAAGCCATATGGCTGACTTTTACATATTCTCCAGCCTTTCTGTGTTAAACGAAGGCAATCAACGCACTTTTTTACAAGTGCAATCAACATTCTTTTACACATCAGCTTTCCCCCGTGCGTGTAGATTCATAGGCTACATTTTGAGGGAGGAATTGCTGAGTCTGCTGCTGTAAGCTGAACAGAAACCGACAAGGAGCTTCTGCCCTGGGGAGGTGTCTGATGGAGAGTGTAAGGGGGGAGATAAACAGAAAACCTGCCCAAGCCTGGTCACAGTGCTGTGGTTCACTACACTTGATGGGCTACAGCGTAAACCACAGTTCCCTCCTAAGATTCTATCTTTCACCAAAAGTCTTGAGCTACATTTTGTACTGATCAAGGGCTGCCCTGGTGGCTTGGATGGTAAAGAATCTGCCTGCAATGCAGGAGACACGGGTTCCATCCCTGGGTTGGGATGATCCCCTGGAGAAGGGAATGGCAACCCACTCCAGTATTCTTGCCTGGAGAATTCCATGGACAGAAGAGCCTGGTGGGCTGCAGTCCATGGGGTCACACAGTCAGACACGACTGAGCACGCACGCAAGATGAGCACATGACTTGAGACGGCCAATCAGAGGCACGAAAGAGAAGTACTTCTCTCTCCCTCACTGGACAAAAAAAAAAAAAAACCCACAAGAAAGCAAGTGGACCAAACTGGCTCTGGTAGCCACCTCGTGACCCTCGACCAAAGAGATTGCGTTAGGCTCCTCCAACCCCTGTAACAAATAACATCACCTCTGTGACTTGTACAGTCTCTGAGTTATGTCCAACTCTTTACGACCCCATGGACTTCAGCACACCAGACTCCTCTGTCCTTCACTATCTCCTGGAGCTTGCTCAAACTCATGTCCACTGAGTCGGTGATGCCATCCAACCTTCTCATCCTCTGTCACCCTCTTCTCCTGCCTTCAGTCTTTCCCAGCATCAGGGTCTTTTCCAAAGAGTCAGTTCTTCCCATCAGGTGGCCAAAGTATTGGAGTTTCAGCTTCAGCATCAGTCCTTCCAATGAACACCCAGGACTGATCTCCTTCAGGATGGTCTGGTTGGATCTCCTTGCAGTCCAAGGGACTCTCAAGAGTCTTCTCCAACACCACAGTTCAAAAGAATCAATTCTTCGGTGCTCAGCTTTCTTTATAGTCCATCTCTCACATCCATATATGACTACTGGAGAAACCAAAGCTTTGACTAGACAGACCTTTGTTGGCAAAGTAATGTCTCTGCTTTTTACTGTCTCTGCTGTCTAGGTTGGTCATAACTTTTCTTCCAAGGAGTAAGCATCTTTTAATTTCATGGCTGCAGTTACCATCTGCAGTGATTTTCGAGCCCCCAAAAATAAAGTCTCTGTTTCCACTGTTTCCCAATTAATTTGCCATGAAGTGATGGGACCAGATGCCATGATCTTAGTTTTCTGAATGTTGAGTTTTAAGCCAACTTTTTCACCCTCTTCTTTCACTTTCATCAAGAGCCTCATTAGTTCTTCTTCACTTTCTGCCATAAGGGTGGTGTCATCTGCATATCTGAGGTTATTGATATTTCTCCCAGCAGTCTTGATTCCAGCTGGTGCTTCATCCCACCCAGCATTTCACATGCTGTACTCTGCATATAAGTTAAATAAGCAGGATGACAGTATATAGCCTTGACGTACTCCTTTCCTGATTTGGAACCACTCTATTGTTCCATGTCCAGTTCTAACTGTTGCTTCCTGACCTGCATACAGATTTCTCAAGAGGCAGGTCAGGTGGTCTGGTATTCCCATCTCTTGAAGAATTTTCCAGTTTATTGTGATCCACAGAGTCAAAGGCTTTGGCATAGGCAATAAAGCAGAAGTAGAGATTTTTCTGGAACTCTCTTGCTTTTTCAATGATCCAGCGGATGTTGGCAATTTGATCTCTGCCTTTTCTAAAAACAACTTGAATATCTGGAAGTTCACAACTCACATACTGCTGAAGCCTGGCTTGGAGAATTTTGAGCATTACTTTGCTAGTGTGTTAGATGAGTGCAATTGTGTGGTAGTTTGAGCATTCTTTGGCATTGCCTTTCTTTGGGATTTGAATGAAAACTGACCTTTTCCAGTCCCACGGCCACTGCTGAGTTTTCCAAATTTGCTGACATATTGAGGGCAGCACTTTCACAGCATCGTCTCTTAGGATTAGAAATAGCTCGACTGGAATTCCACCACCTCCACTAGCTTTGTTCATAGTGATACTTCCTAAGGCCCACTTGACTTCACATTGCAGGATGTATGGCTCTAGGTGAGTGATCACACCATCATGATTATCTGGGTTGTGAAGATATTTTTGTATAGTTCGTCTGTGTATTCTTGCCACCTCTTCTTAATATCTTCTGCTTATGT